TGGTCTCTAGGTTGTCTGGTCTGGCTCGTTGGTTGTTTGTTCCTGAGAGTTTTCATCTCTTGAGTCATCAGATCCCGCTCCTGGCTGATTTCTGGGCTCCGTGTTCTGATCCTCTGGAAATTGCTTCCGCGTCGCGAGAGTCATCCTGGGTGTTATTTTTTGTAAGTTTGCGGGTTAATTTATTAATTGTAGTATAAGCGGGAAAATTGCATTCGGTTGCAAGGTTAGGTTGTGACCGGAATAATGCCTCTATCTTTAATAAATCCGTGTATCTTACTTTAATTAATTAATTGTTGTTAATTATCACTGGTCGTGACTTACTTTGGTCGCCACTTTGTTTAACCTACGTAACAAAGAAGGTAATTCGGGTCCTTGGTTATCCCGCCTCGCTGGCCTTATCGGAATGGATGGCTCTGATTGGCTTCCTTCCTTCGTATCCGTCCTGTGATTGGCCGCATGATTGAGAGGCTTGTGTCGTCGTATTTGGTCTAGCTTCGTTGCGTAGAACCTTATTACTATTCGTGGAACTGGTATACGTCGTAATAAATACGAAAGGCACGTTGGTGTAACGAAAATTAATTTATTAATAACTAATAACACCAACAAATATATAACAAATGGCCTTTCAGTCACTCTTTTCACATTCACGTTATTTCGAACGAATCGACACTCTAACTCTCTCTCTCTCTAACTAACTTTACTTTGCGTTGTCGCGTCGTGTCGCACAATTCGTTGCGTCACGATTTTCAAGATGGCCGTCGCCTTTGTTCTCACTTGCCGCGCTTGCACGTACCGCATATCACGTATTTTGAGGCTATTTCCTCACTTTTCTCGCGTAATTACGACGCGGGGCGTTTACGGGAGACTTGCTATTAACGTATTTCAACGAATTACGGCGCTTTTTCGCCGATTTCCCGTGTTTTCTGTAACTGTCGGATTACTACCGAAATTCGCGATTTCTCGCCTTATTCGCGATGTTCCCTACACGGTAACGCACTTTCCCGACTCGATTTAGATCGGTTTTATACGGTATTCGCGCGTTCCG